TATATGGCGTGAGGTCACGCCTTCCGGAGGGGGGCGTTATGTCAGACTCTGTTCCATGTTTTGTCTGTGTCTTGCTCCCCAGGTGTTCCTTTCCCATGTTTAATTTGTCACAGGTGTTCCCCATGATGGTTCATTGATCCCAGGTGTCTCGTCATCCCCTCCTCCTGTGTGTATTTAAAGTGTTCCCAGTCCCTAGTTCTCGGTCCGCTATGGAACGTCTTCCTGTGAACGTCTTCCTGTGTTCGTCTCCCTTGGTTCATGCAAATAAAGTCCTGTCAACATATTCTCCAGCGTCTCCTCATCCCTCGTGTGTGTGCAACGTGACAATATTATAATAGTACATAATATTAAAATGTCACTTGGTTTGTGCAATAAATCTTTGTAAATGCAAACAGATCAGTAATGATTTGCTACCACTTTATGACTGATAAATCTATATGCTACTTATATTTTCAGTTTCTGAGCGCTTGTATTCATCTTTAGGTGAGGTTTATTCAAACCAGCAAATGGATAAATGACCAAAAAAATAAAATTCTGCAATCATTTATTCAACCTCTGTTGTTCCAAACCTGTAAGACTTTCGTATAACAGAAAAAAAGAAAAATGTTTTAACTGTTTTAGTTACTATTTAATAAATCGTATCGTATACAATTTGAGGAATTTAACAAGATTTGAGAAAAAAGCGCCACCTGAACTGTTGCCTATTGACACAACTCTTTGTATATGAATTTCTGACATATTCATTTTCAAAATATTGGACCAGCCGCTGCTTTATGTATCTTGACATGCCGAGATAGTAAAGAGGTCAATAAGCAAAGTTTTTTCTCACTTCAGCAAATACTTCTCTTGAGTCATACAATAATCTTTGTATGTTTATTGAAAGCAACTGTTGTAACAGAACTGGCTCCAGTTATTGCCAGTTACTGGTGGTCACTCTGGGGGTGTTCGTTATTGTTTGCACCGGCTGGTGTTGCGTATTTTGAGCGTAGGGAAATACGTTGGGCATGAATCTTCTGCATACACTTTTGCTCCAGCAGCAGTTGCTGTCGATGAGTCTGCAGAGCGTCCTGCTGTTTTTGTAGAGCTAGAGCTCTCTGGAAAAGGAATTTATACTCCTCATGCAGGCTTTTTTTCTCCTGAAACACTTTATTTATATAGGACATCAGGGAGTGAGATGCCTCCTGGGAAAAAGGGAAAGAAAATATCCTGACCTGGTAACTTATGGTGATGTAACTGTATAATTATACTGACTGAATTCACAACAGCATTCACTCACCTTGTTGGCTGATATAGTGAGAGCATGCACAGTGTCTTCTGCCTGTTGCTCACAGCTCTTCCTCTTTTTAATGAAGTCAGCCTTGAGAGCCACCAGAGACTCTGAATGATGACACTGCATGGTAGTCAGCTCCTTCTCCAGCTCAGTGATACGACACGACTGCTGCTGTTTTAGAGTCTACGACACATATAATACATGAATACATATGTAAAAAAAACATTCCACCTCAGTGCAGTATGAAAAAATTATGTCAATTTGAAAACAATGACACAAGTTTCCACTTATTTCAGAAACTATTCAGTTCAATATGCGTTGAATTTTTTTTATAATTGATTCCAATAGTTCATATTAAATGAAAATGCTATAAAAGTCAGGCGTCTTTGAAAGGGGGTCTGTGACTCCAATGAGGACCACAGTGTTAATGCAGGGGTCTGTCAATTGATGTTTGATATGAAAAACTTTTTTTTTTTTAATGAAAATATGTGTGATAAAAAAATTATGATGATTATTCAAATGGATATGCAATTCAATATATGTAAATACACAAATATGGTACTTAGTCTGTGTTATTAAAGGCCAAGTTTAAAATGCATAAATACATTTTATATATGTACCAATAGGTACCCTGTTCCATTTGTCTATCCATCAAATGACGCTTAGTTAGAAAAAGGTAGAATACCCTTCATATAAACAGGATGTGAAAATCCAAATTACATTACAATTTAACCCCAGTACAAATGCCCACAAAAAATAAGAAGAGAGATCCTGCTACCTTAACCTCTTTCAGGTCTGCAATTTCACTATTTAGCAGGGCCAGCTGATTTTCCATCTGCAGGATCTCCATCTGCAACTCTGAAAACACAACCAACACACATCTGAAGTGCAACATTTGATGTTTTAATAGCATCTAGCGAAGTACTGATTGCACCCATTTGTGAATTGATTTGTAACCAAGAAAGCATATGACAAACTGCATCTTCAGTCATTTACAGTACATTATAATCACACATTTATTCTTCATTTCCATTTCCCGTACAGACGCATTAACACTTGTCTTACCATTGGTCTGCTCCTCATGTTTATCCTGCATGTTCTGTCTCTGTCTCTGCAGCTCCTCAAGTTCCTTATGGCTCTGATCACTCAAATTCAATATTGCATTCTGCCTCTTCTCTGCTCTTTTAGACATATATGACATGTACTCTTTCTGCACAGCACAGAGAACAAGAATGATCTGTATATATCTGTGAACATGATATATATATATATATATAAAAGCAATTATATTGATCCGTGTTAATTTGTGAGAACTTACACTTTCAATACGGCTCTGAGCTATCTCATTTTGAAGAAATTCATTTTCTTTTCGTCTGGAGTTGATTGTGTGTTAAATTTTCAAACACTGACATAAATGCACGCCAGTCATATCTGCCAGTTAGAGTTACTGGGCTGGAATGTATTAGGATTTAATCATTCCAATTTCAAAATCATTATGATGGTACACTGACTTCTAAAAAGGTGATTGGCTTCTGTTTCTTTCCCACAAAACTACATACAATTGCTTTAATAGTATAAAATGGTTAGCTGGTCTTAGCTGGTTTAAGCTGGTCTAGATGGTTTCACAGTTGGTTGGCCATCCCCGACCAGATGCAAGTGCTATAAACTCCTCTAAAACCATCAAACCAGACTTGTCTGGAGACAAGCTAACCACGGTAATGTGGTTTCAGCAAGGAATTATGTTTATGTTTGTGCAAAAGGATACTTTTGTTCAACTCTCCTCTTCAGTGTGCATAGGTTCTCAGTTAGGGTCTCATATCTGTGGGTTGCAACGCGATATTAACTAGACTGACGTACTGTCTACATCAAAAGTTATTCCAAATGTTCTTTGCATCTCTACAGATAACTCACTCTCTGTGTAACAGCATCTGTCTCTCATCCTGTCCATCGCTCTCAGCCGAGACACCTGCGTCCTGCTGGCTCTTTGACTCGCTTATCTTCTTTGATGACATCCTGAAACCACCTAGACAAGCTGTTAACTCGCATACAGCACGACTAAAGGATTTCTAACGTATTTAACGTTACTAGCCCAATGAAGCCTCCCGAATCAGTCTAGTTCTTCATTCTTTTCCACTCCCAGAGTTGGTTGCACTGTGTAACCAAGACAACCATAAATAACATTCGCCGAAAGGAGCCAGATTCACAGCATATATGTATAAAAGTTTGTTTTGATCATTTATTTTTAACTCAAAACGTACGGATTCATAATCAAGCCTAATTCATTCCTAATTCAATGTTATTTCGGAAAATCCAACTGCGAACAGCAGTGTTTGAAATGTGTTGTGTGTTGATGTGACACGCTGGCCGGCCGCTAGATGGCGCGAGATGCTCTACTGGAGTCAGTGTTGCCATGTCCGCATATTACAAGCTAATATGGAATTTTTTTCTTCATAAAGTCTCTTATAATAATGGGCTAATGCAAGTTTTATTGGACTTATTGGACTCATTATTATTGGAATAATGTGGTTTGAATCACTTTTAGAATTAGTTTTCATAAACTCAAGCACTTTAAGAAGCAGATGACAACTGCAACTCTTATAATAAAACAGAATGTTATTATCCTTTGATGTGGATGCTAATATAGTTATCGTTATTCTTATAGTTATCCTTAAAGTTATTGTTTTTGGCGTGAATGGGTTTTAAAACAATAAAACATTGATAAAACAGTTAAAATGTCATTGCGATCAACCACTATTTACTGTTCAAGCGTCGCTCTACAAAGACGGAGATTGATTGAGATGGCCAGTTATGTGAAATATTTTAATTATTTTTGTACAACGATATATTTATTGAAAATACATAAGTTTAACATTTTTGTTTTTGCGAGTTTCAATTCATCCTTGCTAATTCTAGTTTACTTAACCAGTGATCCAATGATTTCTATGATTCATTTTAAGCGAAATTAAGTACCCCTTGCTTATTTTGGACTGTTTTCTTTTTTCTTTTTAGAATCGAACCACTATTGGAGCAAGGTTGCTTGTTTATCTTGCGTGATCTGGCAACAACACGTAGAGTGCGTTGAGCGAATAGACAGTAGGCAGAACCGAGCTGACATAGACAAGAAACGTCCACGTTTGACAGTTTGCCAATGTTTGATTTCTAAAAAACAACACATAACAGCAATAATAAAAGCAATTCTTCTCTATCTTCATGCCTTGCGGCTTCAGTTCGCACACTCTGTGTGTGTCGGAGGGGAGGATGCGCGGCTGAAGACTTCAGTCCAGATGACAAGGCGCGGAGAGACTAAAGCATCCGCATCCTGAGCATCCCGACAGACAATCACAGCGATGATGGAGGGGCGACACGAGTTTTTATGCGGTGTTGTTGAGGGTAAGTTTACGAAACATCATTTATCTGGGTGCTTGGGTGGGAGCCACAGAAACGACCAAAGAGATACATGAGATTTATTCGTTAAAGGGCACGTTTAACGTGATTTAGTGCGGTAATGTATTGTCAAACCGTTATTTACTCAAATTATTTACGGGGGAAAAAACAAGAGCCAAGCCATAAAGACACCTATAATTAGCCTCTAAAATAACCCATTTCTAATTCATGGGCTAGTAGGGCAATTCATCTTATTAAGGCGCCGTGGAGCATCCTGGGTATTTATTTCCATATTTATACTGGAGTGTGATAGGAAGCAGCTGGCCAGAAACCATAAGACACACACACACACTCTCAATTACACACACATTTCCGTCCCCTGTGCACACACAGGCATGTTGTGCATATCTCCTAATTGGCCTTACTCTTGTTTGCAGCTCAGTGTCACATTATTGGCTCGGTGGGTGATTTGTCTTTTTTCTCCTGTGAAAATGTCACCCTGCTGGATTCCAGTAGCTTTTTCTTACTGACCCACTTCTGTTCTACAGCTGCAAACTGTAGGACCACACTGGCATGGATATCCAATATCAGGGTTGTTTCTAGAATATGTGGGAAAGAAGAGGGGAGACACACTTTGTGATCTATAAGTAAATCTAACTTTACTTGCATACATACAGAACTCTCACGTAAAGAGATATATACTATGTAACAAATCTATGTCATAATTTATATCATTGCAAATTGTGAACAATATTATCACCCAGCTCTCTATATAAAGTTAGATATTTAAGTATATCCAACTTTATCTGCATACATACATACATACTCACATCAAGCGATATATATATATACTATTCAGCAAATTTGGACTGTTTGACTGTTGCAAAATGTAAACTTTATTATCACCCAACTGTAATTTACTAAGTACAACTATAAAGCATGATGATATTAAGATAATAAACATTAACATCATCTTTTTTTCTGTAAACTTGCCTTGACAAGTCACTGCCAGAGGTGGGTAGATTACTGACAAATTGTAATCCATTACTGATTCCAAACTGTAAAAAAAATTCCGTAAAATTAACGGTAAAAAACCGGCAGCTGTGGTTGCCGGAATTTTACCGTAAAAAATACGGTAGCAACATTTTAGGTTTTACAGTTTTAAATTAAATTCTCAGTTAAATACCGTAATTTCATTAACTGATAGAGTGTTAATATACCAACCTATAAGTACGGAAATCTGTTTTGTACCTTTGTAATACACTGATAACCACCAAATGCAGGTGGTGATGAGAAAGTCACATGATGAAGCAAAGCAGCCTTTAAATAACATATATAGAAGGTGCACAGTGTCATTCACACAAACACTAAACCCCATCATGGTAACATGAAACTGAAATAATGTAATAAACATTCATTTAACAACAGTAGGTGTAACATACAAAACTGATAAGAAAAAACTAAGAAGAAACAGTTATTTAAACAAAAAAAAAAATCAAATTTGAAATGTAACGCAGGGAATTCTGGGAATGTCAATTTACGGTTATTCACTGTAAATTATACGGTCTTTTTCCACTTCCAAAAACGGTATACTACCGTAAAATTACATGTAATGTCCAATACAGTTTTTAACCGTATATAGTAGGGGAATTT